CCCACCGCTTCATCAGGAGTCCCCGCTCGCAGCACAGAACCTGAGCTGTGGCCTGGTTAACTCGAGCGAAATGGTAATAGAAAAGTTTGCCCCCGGTGAGGACATACTTCTTACAAAAAGGAATGTGGGGGTGGCGGTGCTGAATCTCCCAATTGCTTCCCCTCTTCATCCCTCTGCTCGACTACCCTCGACCCCCAGCGTCTCCCCAACCCGGATAATTGAGAACAGTGGGGAGGGCGATGTTTTTTTTCCAGAGTAGACCAGGTGCGGGTTGATGCGGAGGCTTTGTGAAGACTGACCCAGGAAATCGTGGAGGGTGAGGGCAGGTCAGGGACAGGCTGGACGAGGGAGAGGGGAGATTGGAGGGGGAGAGGAGGAGCCGAGTGACCGCCAGGCTCACCTGCTTGGTGACCGAGTCGATGAGCCTGACGTACAGGTCCTGCTCCGTGCGGACACCTGCGGGGGAGGCGGGCGGGCACGAGGTGAGGGCGGCGCAGCCCTTCCGGGCACCCCAGACCCGTCTGTGGGGCCGGGGCTGAGTGCAGGTTGAGCCGTCCTGGGGCAAAGATCTCCCGCCCGACCCCCTGGCTCCGAGCGGGCCTCCCGCAGCCCTGCTCTCCCCGGGCCTGGAGCCCGCCCGCCAGCCACCGCAGCAAGGTCAATGCTTCCCGGAGAAAGGAGCGCGCGGGCGCCGCGGGCGCAGGGCGCTCACCGTTGCTGTAGAGGAGCTGTAACTTGTAATGGGTGCCGTTGTTGGTCTTCTCGTTGCCTTGTTCCTGAAAAGACAGAGTCCTTTGCTTTCCAGCCCCCCAAAATGAGAAAGAAAGGAGAGAGAGGGCTTCCCTGCCCCATCTCCTGCCATCTTTCAACCGACAGCTTTGAACAACCCCCTGCCCAGCCCCGGGTCAAAGGGCAGGAGCGGCAGCCGTTCGCCAACCTCCGAAACTTGCCAAGGCTCGCTGTCACTTGACCTTCTCCACCCGTCTGCTCCCCCCCTTAAAAATGTCCTCAGAAGTGCCACCCCAGAGGTGGGACCCCCAGATATCATGTCTACGGCTGCGTTTAAACAGGCCCCACCCAACCCATCGGGCTCTGCCTTTCCTTAGGAAGCCCCAAGGCTTCTCTTGGCAGAAAGGCAAAGGGACCTGTCATTTGGACGGGCAGCGTTCGGCCCTACCTGGCCAGGATGGAGTCTTGGGGCCAACCGCTCAGGGACACAGGCCCAGATTCAAGAGGAATCTTGGGAAGGCCTGCTCCAAAACTCCACTGTATAGATGAGGAGACAGGCCCAGAAAGGGCAAGACACTTTCCTTTCCTCTCACATGGCTTCATCTGAGATCAAATTCAGCCCCCATAACCCAGCCTGGGCTGGGAGCAGCCACTGCCTTGGGAACCAGAGTGGAAGAGAAGGCTAAGGGGATGGGTTGGGAGGCCGGGCTGTGGGTTTCCACCTACTACCTGTCTAACCCACCCTGCCGGTACTGGCAAGTGCAAAATAATTAATAATAATAGTAGTAGTAGTAGTAGTAGTAATAGTAATAGTAATAATACAGAGAAGGGCAGCCTGGGCCGTGAGTATACGTTTAAACTATGCTCTAGTTGGAAGGACATTTGCTCCGTGGTCAGTCGGTGACCAGGCTCTGTTAATGATCCGGAAGCACGGTGCGAAAAGCCACAAGCGCCCCTACAAAGGGAGGTGCGGGAGGGGAGTGCGGGTGGGAGAAGATGCGGGAAAATCGACTAATTCAGAGGCCGGGGGTGAGAAGCCTCGATTTCTCATCCCTCCTGATGTGAGCGGAGAAGTGTCGGAAGTGACAGATGGGATCTTTAGTGCTTTGCAAGGAGGTAGTTATTAAGCCGCCAGGGGAAGAGGGGGACCTCTGCTTACTTTGTCGTTCTCCACAAAGTCTACGAAGGCAGTGCGCTCAATCTCCACCGGCTGCCCCTGCCTGTCGTAGAGCGCCAGGACGAAGTGAAAGAAGTTGGATTTCCTCAAGTTGGAGGGAGGCTGCTTCTCAAAGTGGGCCCGGGACAGGGCTACTCCGCTGCGCACGAAGAGACACGGAGGACACCGCACCCGGGGAAGGAGAGAAAGACACGATGTTACCAACGCGCCCATGCAACACCGCAGACAGTCAAGGGTCCCTGTCCGGGGTCCAGACTTCTGGAGCCCTCGGGCCTTCTTTTCAATTAGGATTAAGAAGTGAGGACTCCTCAGAGGAGTGGCCACGGGGATCGGGTGGCAGGGCCAACGACCCCGAATGCTGTCACTGCCAGCTGTTCCAGCCTCCGGGCATCCCAGCACCCAGCAGCTCAAAGTCTGGCCTTTAGTGGAGACCAAAGGATCATGACTACAGACCGAGGCCCCCAGGAGTCCCCCGAGGCACTGGCCCAAGTCTTGTCCCATCAGGTGGCCCAATCTTCTGCCCACTGGGTCAGGATTCAGGGCTGGGCCCCAGGCTTAGGGTACTAAGCGCCTCGTTACTTTTAAAGAAATGACCCTATTCCTTCATCTTCATTGGAGTTACCTGTCCCCGCACTACTGCCCACAACGTCCCCCACCCCCACCAAGCTATCCCGAAAGGGCGGTGGGTGAGAACCCCTGGGAGCGGACGGGAAGCCCAGAAGCCAAGCCTGAGTCCTTCAGGGAGAGGCCTCACTGCCTGCTTTCCTCGCTCTTCCGAAAAGTTTTGCCCGGGACAGTAGCAGGGTGGAATCCCCTTGAACCAGTACCAGGCTTCTAGGGCCATCGCGTACGACCTGATACTGAGGACCTTGCCCCTAGAACTGCTGAGCCTGGAGAAGCCAAAATGTTATTAAGAGGCAGGAATGTCCTCGCCTGGGGCTGTGGGTCTCCCGGCTCAAGCCGCATCTCTGGGCCGCGCGGGCCAAACCCGCCGACCGCGATACCGGTGTTGGAGAACCCGGGAGGCTCCCTGGAGCATACTGAGTATGTGCACACACCTCCCTGCCGGCCTACGGCGGCCGGGGACAAACTGGCCGCCAGATCGCATTTAACAAGAGACTCACGGCCCAGGCGAGCGCGCAGGTGGACGGGGCTGCCCCGAGGTGCTGGGGTCGCCGGGCGTCTTGCTCTAGGGCGCGAGCACTTTCTCTCGTTTGAAGGGTGTAAAACTTTGGCTAGAATCCACCCGCCCCCCCAATCGGACTGCCTGTTTCAACTGTAACAATTATTTGATCGGAGAAGGGAGGAAAGTAGGGGAGGCCTCTTCCAGGTGCTTGGCTAAGGAAATGCGCCGAAGAGCCCGCTCTGCGGTGCTGCCTGCTTTTCCTCGGCCTGCAGCCCAGAGAGTCCCCAGACGGCTGCGAAAAGCCGCCGCCGTGGCCTTCCATCTGCTCGAGGACACGGGCGCGTCCCGGTCTCGGGCAGGAGGGAGGGAGCTGCCGCCTGCCCCGGTCTCCGGAGCGCAGCGGCTTTTGCTTCCTCTCCTCCAAGAGTAGTGGCCGGTTCGCTCTACCCGGGACTCCAGGTAGAGTCGTGGCCTGTCTAGAAAAGTAATTTCTCCGCGTGAAGCTGGGACTTAGAGGGGGATGGCCAGGAGAGTGGACAGAGAGGCGGCAGTCGTGGGAAGAAGTTCGTGAGCTCTTTGGGGTAAGGGGGCTGTCTCTGGCAGACAAGGTCGTAGAGACCACAAATGCCAGCCCAATAGTGGTGATGAGGGAGGGGAACCAGAATGTCTTCATGGGGTGGCAGCTGGACAAGGCATTTACTATCTCAGCAGGAGGATGCTCAGAAACAGTCAACTTCAGGGACTAGCAAAACTAGAGGCTGTGACTGCTGCTTTTGCAGCGCGTCTCCTTTCCTCGCCTTTTTCCTACGGGCTGCTTCTACTGTTACTCCATCTTTTCTCTTTAGTCTTCTCTCCCCTCACCCCCGCCTCTGTGCGTCTGGTCCGCTGTTTTATCTCTGCTCCCGGACCCTCCAGTCTGCGCCCCTCCCAGAGCACCCGGCCGCTTTGCCTTCACAGGCAGCCGCTCCGGCCTCCACGGCTCCTCTAGCCGTCGCCGCCATCTGGCCGTGGGCTCCCCACCTCCAGGAATCGCCCGGCAAGATGCGGGAGGAGAGGCGCTCGCAAGCAGCTTGGCGGAACCCGGGAGTCGCCGTAAAGCCGGCTGTCCTCCGGTGGTCGCCGCTGCCGGCTGGGTGCTCACGCTGGGCTCCGGACCCGGCCCGTCTTGCAGGACTAGGGGCTGAGCTGCGAGGCGTCGGATGCTACTGTTATTTTTCCTCCCAAAGAGTAGTCTGTGGGGAAGGCGTGCGGGAGAAACACAAACGACCCAGGCAGTTCAGAAACTCGAGTGTTGGCCGCGGGGTAAGTGTTCCCCTAACCGCAGCGACCTGCATGCCGGAGGGCGAGCCCCAGCGCGCCAGGCCAGGGCGACATATAGGGGGAGGGAGCGATCAAGGGCCAGGGCAGAGCGGGTGGTGACACACAGAGAGAGACAGAGAGCGAGAGAGCGAGAAACGAACAAGCGAGAGGCTGAGAGCTTAATAAGTGTGCGGCCGTCTCGTTACCTCTGCGCCGCGACATTGGCGTCCACCACGCCGACATTCCGGACCCAGGACCTGACCGAATCCATCTCGGCGCCCAGCGATTTCTCTTTCAGAGCTGGTCCTCTTCCTAAAGTATCTTGGATGCCAAACATTTAAAAAGTCTGATCTACTGTCGCTTTAAAAATGAGTTACAACGCTGTCCTCACTGTTCCCAACGTTGTCACCAAACCGTCTCCTCCAAACCAATCCAAGAAAAGGGATCAAGTGCCGAAGTTTGAGTCTCTCTTGGGGGGGTGGGGTGGAGATAACCCGTCCTTTGCTTCCACGCGTGAGGTGCGGACAGATGTAGTTAAAGTTTGGGTTCTGTCCTTCGCAAGTTCAGATCTGCCGCCTCAGGCCCTCCGCCCTAGGTCGCTCGCATCCTTCCAGTGGCAGCGCTGCCTCCAGAAAGTGATCACAATTTTGAAGCATCACCTGTTCTGGGAGAAACAGGAGGAGATTGATGGCTGCCTAATCTCTCCCCTTCCTCCAGGTCCCCCACCCCCCTCCCTGCTCCTCCCCACCGATCCAATTTAGAAAAAAAAAAAAAAATCCCCAACAGGATCAGTTGTAAAAGGAAGGGGAAGACCCGGAGCGGAGAGGAGGCGGCGGCTGCGAGCGCTGCGGAGCCGGGCTGCAGCCTCGCGCCTGCCCCATGAATGGGTTACTACGGCCTGGGCCGTGGGAGGCGGAGTCGTGGCCCGATAAGGAGCCTCATTTGCATAGACGCTCGGGATTGGCCGGCGCTGGGCAGGCCCGGCCGACGTCCTCAGGCGGCGCGCGCCACGCTCGGCGCTGCCGGGAGTCCGGGAGGTGAAAGGGGACAGAAAGCTCCCGGCACTCGGTCCTTGCCCAGACCCCATGTGCGTGCGTGGGGGCCCGCAAAGCCTGCACTGAAACAGGGTAGCCCGGCCCTGCGGGCTGGTACGCGTCCGCTCAGTCTGGTCGCGGGAGCCGGAAGCTTCCGTGGATCCTGCCTCTAAATGCAGGTTTTTGTAGCCTGTCGGGAGGCATATTCATTCCCGGGGCTTGGGTTCCGTGTGCAGGTTTGTGAAGAAGCGGAGAGCGTGACCACATGTACTTCTGTTTTGTGCAAACGTTCCCCAGAACAATCCAGTTCCCTGGACGCTCTCCCAAGTCTCCTGGAGTTACTTGGGGACACTCAGATTTTGCATGCGGTTTACAAGTTGAGAGAGGATACATGAATGAAAGAGGGGGGTGGGGTGCGGTGGGGGAAGAACAAGGCTCAAATGCTACTCAAATAAACAGAGTGTCGGGGAAAACGGTCAAAGAGCTAAGGAAAATACCCCCGGGCGGACGCGAGCGGGAGTTGCACCCTGCAGATGAGAGGCTGCTGACAGATCGTGGCAGGCTGAGTGCGAGAGCTGCCCGGCGTTGTCCCGGGAGCCCCCTCCTGTCCCCCTCCCCTCCGAGTTCCCTAGCCTGGGGGGAGCCCACAGAGGAGCTGCAGGGAGGCAGCAGGGGAGTCGCGAAAACTTTGCCCAAGGCGCGCGGTCGCCGCAGTGCTGGCCGCGGGCTGGTGGCCGGGAGGCTCCGGCAGCGCCGCCAAACAGCTGAAACTCTAGACGGCTTTTTAACTACGCCGGGCAGCTAACGGTGCCTATTAAAAATCCTCCTGGCTGGGTGTTATTTTCTTGCTTCCCCTTTTGTATTCTGATCTGCGCATAGATCTGCTGCTGAAATCTAGAACACCAGCGCGAAAACAGATTTGAAGACAATGAATGCAAATCTGTGCTCAAAGACCATCTGCCGTGGAGGAGACAAATCAGCTGTTCCGCAGTTCGAGCGACTGCGCCCAAGCCTCCCGGCCTCATTACCGAGAGGGCCTTGGCAAAAGCCCGGATTACATCCAGGAGACTTTCCCCCACTTAAGACTCAAATGTGTGTGTGGGTTGACTCCCGATCAGATCCCTTAGGTGTAGGTGAGCGCTCACAAATGAACTGCGAGAGTTTGCCGCTAGAGGACATAGCGCCTTGCAATTCGTTTGCCTGGGCGGATAGGAAGCTCGCACTTTTGAGAAATGCCGCTCTCTTGAGAAAGGGACGGATCCGCGCCTCCAGACTACCCCTGGGGTAAACCGCGACCCGGCTGCGTGGACGGATCGCGCTCAGGAAGCGCAGGTCTTCACTAAGGATATTCGCTTGAAAACCGATGGGGAGGGGGAGAGGGTACGCCGACCCTCTTTAAACAAACCTGGGTCCGGGGATTGGTATAGCTGATGGCGGGACGAGGAGAGGGGACGTAGAGAATTTGAAATCCCCGTCTCTTGGTTTTATCGACTGTGACACCCCGACCCCAAGGATCTGGTTTGGTCTTGTTGGACAGGATGGGTAGAGGGAGTCATGAAGGGCGATTGGGCATAAGAATATGGAACAGGACTGGTGTAACAGCCAAGTAAGATAGGAGTTGTCCAAAGAAGGAAGAAGGAAAGTGGTAGAAAAATTTGTAGGATGAAACTTAATACCTTATTTCAGCTAGGCAATTCTCTGTTACATGCAGATTTTATGGATAATTTCTGTCCCTGCAAAAACTAAGCACCAGAGTCTTCTACCCTGGCCCCACTCTCTTTCTAAATCTCTCTGAACCTCAAGTAACCACCCACCCACATGCTCATCCTAGGTCTGTGCCCAGTGGAGTCAACGGACTCCTTGGTGGAAAGTGTTGAACAGCCCTTGAGACCCTCAAGACATGTTGAGGAGCCCGGAGATTCTTTTCAGGGGGCCTCTGATCTGCAGCACCTCAACGCTGCCCAGGAGAGGTACCGAGCACAGCCCGAGGGGGCTCGAGGCGGCAACAGGCCCGGCCCCGGCCCGGCCCGGCCCGTTTACCCCTCAGGCCCGCCTTGGCTGGGGTTAAAGAGCAGACCAGGGGTCGAGGACGCTGGCTCTTCTCTCCCGCAACAGCTGCCACCCAAATTATGCCCCTCAGGAAGCGAATGAATTGGTTCTTTCTCCCGGCTCCTGCTGCCCGCCCCAAACCAGACGGCCGCGCACGACAGAGACAAGTTCAGGGGCCTTGGTGCCCTGCGGAGAAGCAATTTTGAAAGCCGTGGCCCCGGCACTTTGACCTGGGGGTAGGGGAGAGCTTTACCGCTCCTCGCCGGCTGCGCTAGGGGCGCCCTCCCCGCCACCGCGCGGGGCGGTACGGGCAAGCGGCCTCCACGAGGCAGCGGACCCTGTGGGCTTCCAGCCACGGATGAAGTTCCCTCCAGGATGGGCCGGAGTTCCCTGGCCAGCGCAGGGAAGGGGGCGGAGGGGACAGAAAGAGAGGGAAGCAGCCCTGGGCCCCCAGCGGGAGCGCTTCGGCCTTCGGAGAGCACGGCGCGTTTCTGCCACCCGAGTTGGGTTTAATTAGGTTTCTGTAGGTTTTGGAGAGGGGCGGGCGCAGAGTCGGCCACCCGCGCGGTAGGAGCGTTGGTTAGTGATGGAGTGAGAGGCAGTGGCTCCGCCTGGAGGGTCTCTCGCATCTCTATCGCCTCCAGCTACCCCTGAAACAAACCTCTTCGAACAAGCCACACAAAAACCCGCCCTGAGCCGCGCGGGGGCCCGGCAGGCGCAGCTGCGGCCTGGGGAAGCCGGCCCGGCGGGGGTGCGGGGCCCGCGCGCGCCTCCTGGGCTCCGGCCCGCCAGCTTCGTTCCGCCCCTTGCCGGGGTTGAGAAAAATCCAAGATGAACATTATTAAAATTCTTTACGACAATCTGTTTACACAAAACCGAGGAGGGGGTGGTGATATTCCGTCTTTTACCCTGTCCCCTCCTTTGTTCACTCTTCTCAATGAACCCCCCAGGTTTCATTTCCCCCGTTCATGTTTCACATCTGCACCTCAGTGCGATATGTTCAATTTCCTCTCGATTGGTTTTGAGGCCCGTTTCCCCTGTCTCTTTTGGTCCAAGTCTCTTGGGCGCTGCGTCTCTCCTCCGGGTCAGAGGTTCGGGGATTTTTCTTAGAAAATTGCTCTCCGAGCCTAGCTCTCGTCCAGCAGGGCCCTGGGGTGAAGTCGGAGGTGTGAGAACACCCTCCCCCTTACAACCCGACCTTCACCCCAACTCCCAGACACACGCGGCGGCGCCTGGGTCTACCCAATCCGAAGAATGGAGCCTGACTAGTACCCAGGAAATTAGATCCACAGGGACAGTCAGTCTGCGTTTTATAAATGAAATAAGTAGCAGTCCCCAAAAGCCTCTCTTCGGACGTGAATTTTCCAATTTGTTTATTTTAGCTGGTACTTTTGCTTTTTATTTGTCTGAGTAGAAATAAATGTATTTGCTAGCCATCTCAGAATCCTGACGAATATTTAGTTCACAGTGCTTCGTGAAATAATTTTTTAAATATCCAACTCCACTAACTCCCACTTCGAATTTCAACTTTGCATCAGTTAAATATCCAACTCCACTAATCCCCAATCCAAATTTCTTACTGAAATTGGACTCCAATGCTCCATAAATGAGATCTTCCTAGAGAGGGAGGGAGCCAAAAAAAAAAAAACTACTCTAGTCACAAATGCGCTACAAATATTTCAGGACTCCACCGTCCATACCGAGCAGACCCCTTTTAGGACAATTTGGGAAGAATTTAGATGCACTTTTTGATTTGGTTTCACATAGGGAAGGGGATTCTAACGGAAACAGCTGCCGAAATACTGAGGAGTCGAAAAACACTGCAGAGACACACGATGTGGCACCCCGGCCAGTCAAAATAGACTGAAGGAGCCAGAGGTGGCTCTACCCTAAGACTCGACAACTCCAGAAAGTCTCTTCCTCCTCTCTCTCCTCTTTTTCTTTCTCTTTTCCCTCCTGCTCCTTCACCCCTCAGTATTGCCCCTCAGAAATACCCTTCCTTCCCATTTCCTGGTTGCGGGTGCAGAGCGAGCGAGGGAGCCTAGGTAGAGATGCGGAAAGGTGAGGAGAACAAATTTTTGAAGCAGCAGCCGCATTTGGCTGTTTGCAGGGCGGACGTCGGAGCTGGGCCCGCGGTGTGCGTGTGTATGTGTGTGATGGGCGACTGGTGATCCGTAGGGAGAGAGGTGCCTGGTGAGGCCTCCCGGTGCACCTGCGGACCTTATTTCCTGGGTGGATGGGGGACGTGCGCGTTAAGGGCCAGGTTGGGTTGTGCTGGAGTAAACCGGCCGCCTGCAGCCCCTCCTGGGAACCTGTGCACTAAGGCGATGGCATCTCCACCACAGCGGTATTAAGACGCAGAGACCTAGGGGCAAAGTGACCCGCATTAAGAAACAGGTCTCCACGCAGGATGGGGCTGGGAAGAAGGTACAAACGAACGGAGGCAGGACGTTTACCCAGCACTTCCTGGGAGCCAGGCACTGCCACGCACTTTCTCATCCTTCAACTTGACAGCAACACATCAAGCGGGATCTATCTGCTCCCATTTTACAGTTGAATAAAATGAGGATGGGAGATGACAAGTGGTATCTCAGCTGAGAAGAAGGGAACAAAGGCCCACACCGGTCTCCCACTTCCAATGCACCACAATGGCGAGCGATTTAAGGCCTTTAAACAGAAAAAGTTCAATGTGACTCTTCCCCTCCTTATTTCGGTTTCTCAGCTCAGTTGAGGGGAAAGATAACTGAAGCGCTCCTCCGAAATGCCCCCCTCTTTTCCTGGTGGTCCCCGCCCCCCGCCAGCCGGCAGGGGAAAGCCCTCGAGACCCGCCAGCTCCCTCCCGGCTCGCTGCGGAGGTGTGAGCGATGTGTTGATTATTCATATTTTTGCCGAGCGTACACTCTGCCGCGGCCGGCGCCGCCACATTTCACAC